AATCTGCGTGTCGCACGCCAGGGGTCCCGGGGGCCGGGGTGGGGACACGCAGAATCTGCGTGTCACGCGGGCCCCACCAGGGGGGCGGTCACGCAAAATCTGCGCGGGGCACGCGGGGGGTCCTGGGGGCCGGGGTGGGGACACGCAGAATCTGCGTGTCACGCGGACCCAAAATCTGCGTGTCGCACGCCGGGGGTCCTGGGGGCCGGTGTGGGGACACGCAGAATCTGCGTGTCACGAGGGCCCCACCAGGGGGGCGGTCACGCAAAATCTGCGTGTCGCACGCCAGGGGTCCTGGGGGCCGGGGTGGGGACACGCAGAACGTGTCACGCGGGCCCCACCAGGGGAGCGGTCACGCAAAATCTGCGCGGGGCACGTGGGGGGTCCTGGGGGCCGGGGTGGGGACACGCAGAATCTGCGTGTCACGCCGGACCCAAAATCTGCGTGTCGAACCATGGGGTCCCTGGGGGCCTGGTGGGACACGCAAAATCTGCGTGTCCGCCCCCCCCCCAGGGGGGCGGTCACGCAAAATCTGCGTGCGCACGCCAGGGGTCTGGGGGCCAAGGGTGGAGGACCGCAGAATCTGCGTGTCACGCGGGCCCCACCGGGTGCGGTCACGCAAATCTGCGCCGGGGCACGCGGGGGGTCTTCATGGGGGCCGGGGTGGGGACACGCAGAATCTGCGTGTCACGCGGACCCAAAATCTGCGTGTCGCACGCCGGGGGTCCTGGGGGCCGGGGTGGGGACACGCAGAATCTGCGTGTCACGCGGGCCCCACCAGGGGGGCGGTCACGCAAAATCTGCGTGTCGCACGCCAGGGGTCCCGGGGGCCGGGGTGGGGACACGCAGAATCTGCGTGTCACGCGGGCCCCACCAGGGGGGCGGTCACGCAAAATCTGCGCGGGGCACGCGGGGGGTCCTGGGGGCCGGGGTGGGGACACGCAGAATCTGCGTGTCACGCGGACCCAAAATCTGCGTGTCGCACGCCGGGGGTCCTGGGGGCCGGGGTGGGGACACGCAGAATCTGCATGTCACGCGGGCCCCACCAGGGGGGCGGTCACGCAAAATCTGCGTGTCGCACGCCAGGGGTCCCGGGGGCCGGGGTGGGGACACGCAGAATCAGCGTGTCACGCGGGCCCCACCAGGGGGGCGGTCACGCAAAATCTGCGCGGGGCACACCGGGGGTCCTGGGGGCCAGGGTCGGGACACGCAGAATCTGCGTGTCACGCGGGCCCCACCAGGAGGGGGCCAAGGGCCGGGAACCGTGGCGCTCCCGGAGGTCCAGAGGCCGGGGGCCAGGGCCGGGACATGCAGAATCTGCGTGTCACCTCGAGAAAACCGCGCAGGGGCACGCAGAATCAGCGTGTCACACGGGCTCTGGCGGCCGGGGGCGAAGGCGACACCTTGGTCCGTGAGAACGCAACGCCGCAGGGTCCATGGCCTGCCTGCTTGCCGCCGCCGCGGCACTCCTCGGCGCTCCTGGCCGCGTGACACGCAGAATTTGCGTGTCACGGAGGCGTTCGCGTCTGCGCGACACGCGAAGCCTGCGTGTCAGTCACTCGGCGGCCTTGAGGCTTCAGACTGACGTGACACGCAGGATTTGCGTGTCACGTCTACGCGACACGCAAATCCTGCGTGTCACGTCACACGGAACGCGCTCGGGGCGGCGTCGCGTAAGTAAACGTGACACGCAAATCCTGCGTGTCACACGGAACGGCGACGACGTTGCTGTTGCCGTTATTATTTTTATTGTTTTACGAGCGTAAGCAGAAGCTGCGCCCTGACGCCTTGGAGACACGTTGGGCGTAGCGCTTGAGCACATGCCTTCCCGTCGGCACCTCTCATTTGCAATTCGTGGCCGGAATTGGAAATGAACGGAATTACAGATGACCGGAATTACAAATGAGTGCTCTGTACGCGTGTATATACGCGTGTGCAAAGACGTGTATATAAGCGTGTGAAAATATAGGCGTGTGCATGGTCGTGTATATAAGAGCGTACATTGGCATGTAGATAGGTGTGCATATAGGCGTGCAAATAGTCGTGTGCATCGGCGTGTATATCGGCGTGTATATAAGCGTGCATATGGGCTACTTGCACCACAAGTTACGCTGGAGTCGCCAGCGCGCGCGGAGTCGCAACAGAAGAATCCCCACATAGTGAGGCACCGCCATCCTCCTGTCTACGGTCAGGAACTTCTGCTCAGCGTGTCGCTCCGAAGGTTCTGGCCCTCCTCCTCCTGCTCCTCCTCCTCCTCCTCCTGCTCCTCCTCCTCCTCCTCCTCCTTCGGTGCGACACGCTTACAATTCCCCAGTCCCCAGACATCAACTTCCCGAGTTGCTCCAAGCCTCCCGCCCCGCGGAGCGCTGCGACATGCTGCCAGCTCGCGGGTCACAGCCTGTCCTTGGGGCCGACGCCGAGACACATTGAGCAGAAGTTCCCGACAGTAGGGTTAAGTCGGGCCTGTCCCCCTACAGGGGGATTTTCGACGGGGAACAAAATATCCCAAACATATACCAAAAAGGTCAAGAAATATTCAAAAATAGTCCCCCGACTATCTTTGGATTATTGTTTGCATAGTTTTGGAGTATTTTTTATCTTTCATCGAAAATCCCCCTGTCGGGGGACAGGCCCGACTTAACAGTAGGAGTTTGTGTCTGTATTTGGTGAGTCCGTAACGTCGATTGGGGGGATCGCCCCCCCCCCTTTCCCCCGGAGGAGGTCGAGGATTCCACAGGCATGCTGTGGTGCGGACAGGCATGCTTTGGTGCTCACAAGCATGTTGTGGCGCTCGCAGGCCCGACACCCCCCCAGCCCTGTGCCCCGTGACGGACGTCCCAGGGGGGATAACAAGAAACAGTGTTTAGGTGTGGTGGCCCAAGCCCGTGCCTGCAAGTTGCCTTGTGTAACTACAGTCGGGGCCCTGAAGAAGGAACCCTTTTCGTTTGGGAGGGGCTCCGCGTTCCTAATTGTTTCAAAGCTTGCCTCAGGTGTTCCTTATCTTTTCGATGGGAAATCGAAGCTTAACTTATGGAAAAAATGGGCCTCGTTCCTTATTTAGGGTTCCTTAGGTCAACGCCCCGACTGTACAGCTGCCGCGATCCGCTTTCGCCCTCCTCGGCCACCGTCGGCACAGCCAGCACAGCTGCCCTCGAGATCAGCACTTCCTCGATCCAAGCGCACCACGCGTTCAGATGCTCGTTTTGGGGGACCTTCCTAGGGCCCACCTAACAGATCTGTTCGACTCAAGTTCGACTCAGGTTCGACGCAAGGTCGACTTAAATCGACGGACGTTCGACGCAGCTTCGACGCACGAGTGGAGCGAGTGTCTCCAGGAAGGTCCTCGGAATGAGCATCCCCAAAAACTGTTCTGCGTCGCTTCGATGTCCAGGGTCCTCATCTAAGCTCAGCCTCAGTTCTCGGATCTGGCTGAATCTCGTTAAATCCGATTTAATCCCGCTCAATCCGCGGCATATTTCGGCGTAGCAGTCCCCCAGTGGGGCTTAATCCTTCCTGATCCTTCCGACGAAGACCTCTCAGTAGTTGCCTCCTAACGAAGCGCACCACTTTTCCGCGTCGCTTCGATGTCCAGAGTCTTCATCCCAGCTCAGCCTCCTTCGTCCTCTTTGGATCGGGGAAGATCGCTCTCGGAAGCGTTGCTAGACCGCTCCTGAGAAGGCCGCGGCGCCCGATACCCTTTGCAGAGCCGCCGAATGAGATTCCCGATCTCAGAGATCCGAGGATGACACGCACAAGTCGGTAATTGTATACCATTTTTCGTCGTCGTCGGCGACGACGACGACGACGACGACGAAGACGACGACGGCGACGACGACGACGACGACGAAGACGACGACGACGACGACGACGAGGCCGCGGCGCCCGATACATGTTCAGAGCCGCTGGATCTCAGAGATTCCCGAGTTTCAAAAACGAAAAAACGCCATAAACATAAATTGTTGGCGCCCCACGCGGATTTCCTGGATCCGAAACGGAAAATTTGCAGGGATCTGTGAGTGGGGGGGGACTTGGGAGGGCTTAGTCCAGCATAGTTGATGCATCTTGGGCTTACTCTGGTCCTCCTCCTCCTTCTCCTCCTCCTCCTCCTCCTCCTCCTCCTCCTCCTCCTCCTCCTCCTCCTCCTCCTCCTCCTCCTCCTCCTCCTCCTCCTCCTCCTCCTCCTCCTCCTCCCCCCCCCCCCCTCCTCCTCCTCCTCCTCCTCCTCCTCCTCCTCCTCCTCCTACTCCTCCTCCTCCTCCTCCTCCTCCTCCTCCTCCTCCTCCTCCTCCTCCTCCTCCTCCTCCTCCTCCTCCTCCTCCTCCTCCTCCTCCTCCTCCTCTCCTCCTCCTCCTCCTCCTCCTCCTCCTTCCTCCTCTCCTCCTCCTCCTCCTCCTCCTCCTCCTCCCTCATCATCATCATCCATCATCATCATCATCATCATCATCATCACATCATCATCATCATCATCATCATCATCATCATCATCATCCTCATCTCTCCTCATCCTCATCCTCATCCTCTTCCTACTCCTCTCCTCATCCTCGTCCTACCTCTCCTCCTCCCTCCTCCTCCTCCTCCTCCTCCTCCTCCTCCTCCTCCTCCTCCTCCTCCTCCTCCTCCCTCCCAGAAGGGTACCCGCACTCCTCCTCCCTCCCCGAGGGAAATGTTCTCAGCCCTGGCCGGCCCCCTCCCCCCGAGATAGCGATGTCTTACAGCGACGACTTGGGCAAGAGCTGGTCGGCGACCCAGCGGCCAAAACAGCCACTTGGCCCCGGGAGGTGGGATGGGACGACGGAGGATGACGAGAGGGGGGGGGGCGCCACCTTCTCATCCCGTAGCCATTTTGGTTCAGGTTCCAACCTTTGTCCTTGGGCCGGGGGCTGGAACTTGCAGTCGACGGAGAGGCTCAGAGGCCGCGGAGGATACGCGCCAGGTTTTTGGAAGGATCCATCGTCTGAATCGGGACTGCCCCTGCAGCTGAGCCATGTCCGAGGTGGTTGATGCCGAAGCCTTCATGCAGGTCCCGATGTCAGCTTTGGAGAGGAAGCGGAAGCGATGGCGGAAAACAACGAGATAAACCGCTACATGGAGTTGAAGATGAAAGAGCTGTCTCACAACCATCAATCGGTGATGCCGGAGATCGCCAAGATCGCTAGTCTCGAGGCTTTCGTTGCCCACGCATCGTGTTCCTGCAGATGACGAGCCAGATGACTGTCGACTATTGATCAGTGGTTTCCCTCGCCCTCTCCTGGCTGCCATTTGTCAGGCTCACTACGAGCTGTTGAAAGGTCACGTGGCTGCGTATCTGGTACCAAGCATGTATGCAGAGCGCTCTCGTATCTCACAGTCATACAGCTTGCACTTTGAGACGGCGGCGCAGGCACGCGAGCCCCACGTTGGTATAACGGAGATCCAGATGTGATGGCGAGATGGACGTGACCAGACGGTACACGACATTCGAGTGCGCAGTGATCTTCCTGGTGACGCTCGCAGTCGCCAGCGTCAGCGTGGCCGAGTGTGAATACCCATTAAGGTGCGCTGGTCAAGACTAGTATCGGGTCTCAGTCTGTGGGGATGATGGCCAATGTGTTCAGGAATGAGACTTACTACACCAGGAATGACGACATTGTGATTATTTTTTCACGGCAGCGCGGGCCAGCTGAATCGCATGGTGGCTCGGGCGGTGGACGATTTACGCAAAACGAATGTCGAGCAGGACGAGATCGACAACATGCTGGCATTGCTCGTTGAATAGGGCGAGGCGAAAAGAAGGGCTGCAGCGAATTCGGGTTGAGCAGAAGACAGCGATTCTTCTGAGCTGTGTGCTGATTTGTCTCTTGAGTCTTCGTTTTCCTTTTCCTTCGCCTCGGAATCTGATTCCTCGTCGATTACCTGCGCCGGCTCCGCATCGTCTGATGGTTCCTGTTCCGAAAATGGCTACAGGGGCAGTGGTGGCGGCGAGGATGTTGTGGTGTTTGTTTTCGCTTGTTTCCCTCAGGTCAGAGACATGGAACACCAGCGCCCTTTTCGTTCCTCTCGATCGTGATGCGATCAATCAGCCGGAGACTCGCGACACTGTGTGCTCGCTCTGTGGGACGTCCGACGTGGTGGCGCTGCAGTCGTAGAAATCGCAGGGATATCCGTCTCCATCTTACTGACCTTCTACAGTTCCAAGGATGGGGCGCCTTCTTCTCTGATCGCGCAGATGGTGGTTCGGTGATTTTCATCAGCAGAACTTCTTTACAGCTGCAAATTCATCATATTGTCGCCGCCAGGGGCGGCGCCATATAATGCATCTGCGGGGGGCGAATGGGGCGCGCGACAATTTGCTACATTCGCACGCGTCCAAGCCAGTCCAACGTTCAGAAACGTGGGTTGGTTAGGCGGATGCCTTATCGGATTAATCCGGTTTGTAAGTTATCCACGTGGATTCTTGGCGATTTCAATGGTCTGAACCCTGGGGGCCCCCGCCTTCCGTTTCGCGCTGAGCCTTCTGGTAAAACAGATACGGTTGGAGTTTGCTCTTGCAGCGCCGTCCCTTGTTCGTGCGAGCTGGCGCAGTTCAACCCGACATCCAGAGCTCAGCAGGCGTGCGAAATCGTTCCTGCGAGTCGTCCAGACCGCACCCGCACGGCCACCGATCCAGGTCAGCTCCTGGATGAGAAGCCAGCGGCGGGGCTGCTCTTACCAGTCGCGAATCTCACCGGGTCGAGTGACCGCGCGCCGATGCGCGCCCCGCGCCCAGTTGAATCCAGGTCGTAGGCCGCCGGATCCTCGCATCCAGTCTCGCTCGTTGAGAAAAGGAAAAAACGCGCTGGAAGAACATGCCTGAACTTGGCGATGCGTTGCCCAGGCTCCGCGGGCTCGAGGAGGCGTTCCATGGGGCTGCCCGCCAGGTGGGAAAGGTCTAGCTGCCGACGGATCCTCGCCCTCACAAGGGATGCCTTCTCGGCATGTCGCTACCAGTCGAGCGATGCCCAGGGCAGCCGCTGCGCAGTTCTGAACTTTGTTCGAGCCTTCCCAGCGCTTCGTGGCCTCTCTAACGATAATGGACGCGTTCGGAAGGACCGCGGCGGGCACATGGCCAAGAGGGGGGCGACCTCTACCCAGGCGACGAAGGCGAATGCGACGCGCGGTTCCGCCAGCCCCCAGCTTCCCGAGGAGCGCAGAAGGAAGGAGGTTCAGCGGCGTCGAAAATATTCAGGTCCGGCGAGCGCGGACTTAGCGAGCGGTTCCCCCTGGGGCGGGGGCCCCGGGCGGCAGCGCGCCCGACGCGCTGGAAGACAGCGCCGGGCTTCCCGCGGAGCAGCGGGGCGACGTGCACTCTGATCGCCCTCGGGTCAAGCGGGCTTGTCCCTCTACAGGGGGGATATTCAGAAATAGTCCAACAATAATCCGGGGGCGAGATCTTGAATTTGCGCTGGGAGTTTGGGGGCATGTTTGGGATGTGTCTCGTTCGTCCAACATCCGCCCGCAGGGGGCGCGCCCGACCTAACCCTCGGGACCCGGTGTTTCGCGCCTCTTTTTTCGGATGCTTGTCCAGGAGGCGTCGGACGAAGGATTGCAAAAAAGAACCATAGGATTGCAAAAAAAAAAACCTTTTTTGCAATCCTTCGGGTTTTTTTGCAATCCTTCGGTTCAGTGGGAGGCTGCTTGCGACCGGTTCTGCCCGGGGCTCCCGAGGCTCACCACCCACCAAACCACCCCAACCCAACCCGAAGGCTCAGATTTACCCTCGATTTCTAGTGGGGGGGGTCCGGAAACATCGAGAAAACACATATGGAACCCATACCCCCCCCCCAACCCGAAATTCGGGTCTTCGGGTTGGGTTGGGGTGGTCTGGTAGGTAGTCAGAGGCCCCGGGCTCGCCTGCAGGGCGCGGCGGGGCCCCTTTTTGAGGGCTGCCGTGCCGCTCGCGGAGCTTTCGGGGGCGGGCGCCGTGCCTGGCCTGCCCGGCGCTTCCTGCAGGAGAGGCGGGCGACGATTTGCCTCGCGAGTGCTTCATCGCCGTAATCCCGAAGGGGGGAGCTGCCAGAGCGCATCGACGAGTTGACCAGAGCCCAGGTGAGACTCGGCATATATATATATATATATATATATATGTATATGTATATACATACATACATACATACATACATACATACATACATACATACATACATACATACATACATACATACATATGTATATATACATAAATATATATACATATATTGGCAATGCGAGACTGAGTGGGGTGGTGAACTAGACTCTAGCTGAGCAGGCCCTCTGATTAGAAAAATCAGCACGGCTGCGTTCCAGGTCTGCATATGGGAAAGAGCGCCCGAAGCCAATTCGAAGTCGGCGATCTTGTCCGCGTCTTTGGAGAGCGGGGCGCTGGAGTCGTCGCGTTCGATGTTCGCGTTCCTGTCATCTCCTCGAGTCATAGGTGGATATGGTGGGTCTTAAACGCGACGGTGGCCCCTGATAACGTCGCCCCGGTTTTGAAGTTCCTGTGCCGGGTCATTCGGCCCAATGGCATGCTGGCCGGCGTTCGCGCGCGAGAAATCGCCATCGTCTCTGGGATTAAGCAAACGTGTCCTGCCGGTCGTTCAAACTCGAATTTGTTGTTGATCCAGTAGTGCGAGCCTTGATGCTTGCTCTTCCTTCACCTGAGTCGTGCTTTTGCTGTTGAGCCGATGACATCGCGCACGGCTCTATATAGGAAACCGATCGAGAGTGCACCGATCCTGCTTCTCATCACGACGCAGCGCGGGCTTGCGGCGCGGCTCTTTTTGAACGCTAAGACAACGATTCTGGCGTTTATGGCCGAGTATTATGAAGCGCGCGTACGCGACGATTCGAGGAGTAGTGTAGGACACGTTCAGACCCGCACAAATTGTAAGCGTCCGGGAGTGCCTTTGCGATCCAGTTCGCGAATATCCGAGCATCAACCTTCGAAGCATAGGTTTGGGATTCGTTGAAAACAGACAGTGCTACAAGCCTCCCGCGGCGCCCGTTACCCAGTTCGTTACCTAGTTGTTCGAGCCGCTTGTCGCCCTGCACCGTCTGGGGGACTCGTGTTTGCAGTTGCTCGCGCCATGTTTCTCCTTGGGCTGTCTTGTTCGATCCTGAGAGTTCAGGCAGGTTGAGAGGGTGCCTCAGCTACGCCAGTTGCGCGTGGCTGCAGAGCATATGACGGCCAGGGAAAGTGTAGCGTTCCCGATTCAGATGTATTGTGAAATTGCCGAAAGCGAAGAGCTCCTTGCCACGCACTATAACAACCCTCTGTCCCAGGAGTCGCCCCTGCACCAGCCCGATGGCGTGACCAAGCTGCTGGGTGGGATTCCCAGCGTGCTTGGGGACCCCGAGAAGAAAGGTGTTCAGGCGACTGTGCTTCGTACGATCCAACTCCTACTTCCGGGATGGCGTGCTTGCGAGCCGTTCATTGTTCGGATTGGGTACGTCTTGAGTTTTGAAGCGGCGAGCGAGAATAATGGAACAATTGTGGAAGCCGAGCCAGGTAGTAATACTCAGCATGTCCGCGGCTCTATCATGTCTCGTGTCGCTCAGTCGATGTACAGCGCGTGGAGCATGACTCGTATGTACCAGCAAGGCCCCTCGAGGTGCGTTTTCGGATGTGCGAATGTGGGGCGGGGACGGTGTGCTCCACCGAGTGCGCTTCCTTGCCTCGGAGCTTGTCATTCTGGAGTGATTGCCAAGACTGTGCCTGATTACCAGCACTTGTGGGGCTCTCAAAGGTTGTGTCCTCATGTGTTTCTTGGGGGTCTGGAATCCCAAATACGCGGTTCCATTGTTTCAGACTTGTTTTTTACGGCTTACCATAAAGAGCAACAACGCGTTGCGGCGGCCAGACGTTGCCAAGTTGTCCCAGGCCTTTGGCAAAGGTCATTGCGTTTCGGAATGAACGGTTGTGTCGAGTGTTGTTGGGGAGGAGCCGCCTCGTTGGGTTGGTTCCATTTCATTTGTCCTGGGCAGGGGAACGAAGCACGGCAAGAGAAGGAAGGAGGATGATGATAAGGAGGAGGAGGTGGAGGAGGAAGCAGGTTATGAAAAGGAGAGGGAGAAGGAGGAGGGGAGTGGAAAGGATGGAGGAGAAGTTCTAAAAGGTTCTTGGGCGTTCTTGGAGGCGCTAGTCTAGAGAGACCTGAGTAGTAGGAGGGGAGATGAGGGAACGGAGGTGGAGGGATGAGGAGGAGGATGAGGGATCAAGAGGGACGAGGAAGAGGTAGAAGGAGAAGAGGAGGAGGATGAGGAGGAAGATCAGGAAGAGGGTGGAAGGGGGAAGGAGGGGTGTATGGAGAAGAGGAGGGGGGGAATGCGAAAGGAAGAGAGGGAGGGAGGGTGGAGCAGGAGGAAGAGGAAAAGGAACATGAGGATTGTCCCCTGCACTTATTTCCCCTCGGCCTCCGACGGGTTTCCTAAGGGCGCCGCAATTATCTCCCTGGCGTGTCTTGGCTGATGAGGAGGCCCTTGCGTCGGACGTGCGAGGCGCGGTGCCCACGTTTCGAAACGGGTTTGCGCCGCCCGTCTTGGAGTTGCACCACGGGGGCTGTTCGTCGCATGTCCAACCGCACCGCTGGAGTCGGATGTTCCTCCTCCTTCTCCTCCTCCTCCCTTTCCTCCTCCTCATCCTCCTCCTCCTTGAGGGGGCAGTGCCCACGGATTGAAAAGGGGAAGCACGCAGTTATAGGACCCCCTGAGCCCATAGATTGCCTCCGGCCGGTAGGTTCGTGTCGTATCGACTGGCGGCGACCCCGCCAGCGGTTTTCAACGCTCAACCGAAGAACGCCGCAGGCGACCCATAATCGTTCGATGTGGGACAATTAGGACGTTTCGGAAACGGCCGATCGTTCAAGGTTGAACGATCCCGCGGTATCAGAAACCAACGCAGAAGTCGGCACGACACGAACCTGACGTATCTGGTAGCCCGCCGAGTAGCGCAGCAATCGAGGGAAGCTGCAGCGGGAGCAGGGGGTAGAGGTTCGGCCTCCTTCTCGCGAGCGTGTTGCCGCCTGCCATCCCTTGTTGAAAAGGTGAGGGCGAGGCAGAGCCGGACTCTTCCTGCTTGTCGTCGGCCTCCCCAGGTCGTCGCACGCCACCGCCTCCTGAGGGGCGATGGTCGAGGAGGATCGAGTCTTCCAGGACCCACTTTGCCGTAATAAAGGGCTGTGGCCTCGGGAGCGCCAACGCTTGGCAATTCCCCATGGATCGTGGTCTGGCGGGCGCAAGTTTTCAGGATGGAAAGAAACACACAGACACAATTAATCGTCAATTTCCCAGAAAATATTGGAAAATATGGGAAGTGGGGGGGAAGACAAAATCCAGAAAATATATGAAAATATGGGGAGTATGTTTATTTGTGTGTATTTATTTGTGTGTCCTGGGGCCCCTTCAAGTTTGTCGTAATCTACAACTAGATTGTTGTCATGCGCAAATTTGCTTAGGATGCCAATGACTGGGGTTTAGGGCCTGAAGGAGCGCGAACCTGGCGTAATGTACAAGGGAGTGTGGTCTCGGGGGCGCCAGCGCGTAATAACTTATGACGGACTGCAACTTCGTGTGCGCAAGCTTGTACAAAAGGATTGCATCATCGGGGGAGCAAACATGTAGCTGTAGTAATGTACGAAGGGTCGCGGCCCCGTGAGCCAGAGAGAGCGAAGTATTGTTGAAAGCGGTTGTGGCTCCGGGGGCGCAACATTGCAGCAAGTTGCAACGGATTGTGGTCTCGAGATCCGGAACCTGGCGTAATTGATTACGGGCTGTGGCGTCGGAAGCGCGAGCTTGGCGTACTTTACAGGGCATTGTGGCCTCGGGGCGCACATTCGCATCAATGTGCAACGGATTGTGGCATCGGGGACGGAGACTTGTCTTAAGTTGTGATGGATTGTGGCCTCGGGAGCGCGAATCTGGCGCGATTTGAGTTTGCTGGAGCGCGAACCTGAAGTAACTTTGCAAGGGATTGCGGCCGTGTGAATTGCAAGGGGCTGTGGCCTCGGGAGCGCGAGTCTGGTGCAAGTTTTGCGGAGTTGTGGCTTCGGGAGCGCGGAATTGTTGGATTGAACCAGGAACTGTGGCTTCAGGAGCTTGACCCTGGCGTGATTTTGAAGGGGCTGTGACTTCGGGAGCGCGAACCCCCCAGGGAATTCGGATTACGTGATATGGGGATGGTAATTCATGTGGCTCGTCAGGTCAGGGTCATGGAGAGGCCTTCGATCATTAAAACAGCGGACCTAGAAAGGCATGACATTCAGTTTTGACCTGGGACCTGGAACTGTGGCAGGGAAAAGGAGCACCTAAGCCCTCGCACCCTGGTCGCCCCAAAGATGTCGAACGATTATGTTCAGCTGCGTGCGAGCTTCACCACTACAAAGAACTACATAAAACGTGCGCCATGCAGTCACGCCTACTTTACTACTACTACTACTACTACTACTACTACTACTACTACTACTACTACTACTACTACTACTACTACTACTACTACTACTACTACTACTACTACTACTACTACTACTACTACTACTACTACTACTACTACTACTACTACTACTACTACTACTACTACTACTACTACTACTACTACTACTACTACTACTACTACTACTACTACTACTACTACTACTACTACTACTACTACTACTACTACTACTGCTACCTACTACTACTACTACTACTACTACTACTACTACTACTACTACTACTACTACTACTACTACTACTACTACTACTACTACTACTACTGCTACTACTACTACTACTACTACTACTACTACTACTACTACTACTACTACTACTACTACTACTACTACTACTACTACTACTGACTACTACTACTACTAACTACGACTACTACGACTACTACTACGACAACTACTACTACTTACTTACTACTACTAACTACTACGACTACTACTACTAACTACTACTACTACACTACTAC